TTTTTTTTGCATTAAAAGTTATAAGATAAATTAAAATAAATAGAAAAAATAATTTAAAGTGCAACGAAGTTTAATCTAATTAAAAACGTCTTAACATAATTAAATTACCCGGTCGATATTGAGACCAGTTAGTATAATAACATCCTCGAACATATTTTGATGTTTTAGAATTATTAGCTGAAAATGAATAAAAATATATGCAAAAAGTTAATGCTTGACTACACCTTGAAAACTTTTGTACTGTAACTCAGTTTGGTAACTTTTTGTCTATTAATATTCGTTGGCTACTATAATGACCAAGCATTTACTTGAACTGATCTTGCTTAGATTGGTCTTAAAATTTGTTTTTTCACTGAATTTAAAACAAATCAATTTTATTTGGAGGATTTTGAAGGATTCTGGCTCTAAACATGATAAAATTTGTTCTGCTAAAATCTTCTGAAAAACAATTAGAAAGTATGTTAAATAATTTGTTTGCTTAAAACGAACATTTAATGCAATTTGCCATTTATAATACTTTATATAACAAAAAGTGAAATGAAATTTTTGGTAAATATATTGGCAAATAGCAGAAAAATAATTCTTTTATGATTAAAATGAAATATTAGTTTCAAATCACATTTATTTGCAGATTTTTTGTCTAAAGAAACCTACCAGTGATAGGGAAAGATGCAAATCCAAGTAATATTAGTGTTATAAACATCGTCCGTTCCATTTTACCTGACGATAAGCCACCGTTAACGTTTGAATTTTTTTACTATTTACTATTAAGATCAGCATAACTAAATTTCTGATTTTACAAATAGCTATGATCATATTTAACTAGTTTTTGTTCCTGACATTCTTGTTACTATTAATGATAATGTTGATGTTGTCCTCATTGCTTTTACTGTTATTGTAACTAGAAAAGTGAAATTACTGTATTTATTATTATTGTAATAAATTTTTATTTGAAAAACACTCTTTAATTTCCAAGATGTATGACAGAAAATTAAATTTTTTGTACAAAACAATCAACTAGACTAGAATTGAAAAAATCTAAAGTATAGAAAGTTTGTTCAGAAAATAAATATTGCTGAAGAAAATTTTAGTTCAAAAAAAAGTGTGAGATTAATAGAAACTAAAAATAGTAAAATTTAAGTTAGAGGAAATTTCCACGTAAACAAATAAACGTTCTGTTGAGCATCGTACCAAATTAAAGTGAAAAATATTTGATCGTTGAGAGTATAAATAGAGCTAGGAATAACAAATCATGATTATGATGACAATGATACTGGAACGGAATGATGATAATAACGATAACAATTATAACGGATATAAAATACCCACCAATACTTAACTAAAAACAAGCTTTAGAAGGAAGAAGGTGATAAAATCAGATTAATATTATTATTAATTAAATGATTGCAACAATAAACACAAAACTATAATAGTGAAATTACTCAAATAATTGATGAGTAATATTGTCAATTAAGTGATAATAATCAAACCTGATAATCATGTTAATGGTGAAGTATTAATAACTAGAATTTTGAAGATTACTGTCATAATCATATTGCACCACACATTATTCGAGATTAATTAAATTCATAATAAACATTACACACTAACAATCAAATAAAAATAAATTGTTTTAAATATCTTTTTGTCATTTATTGCATTATTATTATTATTATTATTATCATTATTATTAGAACTCATTAATCAGTATGAATTTGCACTTTTTTTTGGCTATTTATCATTATTGCCAGTATAAACAATTTGTTCGGCTAGCAAAAATAATTTTAAAAAGTGCAAAAAGTAATCAGTACTTTGTTGATACTTTGCTCTGTGCTCTGTTACTTTTGATGGTATTAAATCTATCAATTTGTATGCGTACTTAATCCATATTACTTTTTATTACCAATTAGTAGCATTAATTAATTATGATTGTAAATTTAAAAAGATATTTCATTTCTTGTTTCTCGCATTAGTTATATGAAGGAAAAACAATCCATCTGTAGAAACATTTTATATTAATTATAAAAGCAGCTTATATTGTTGAACATTTTTCTATTTTTCATTCATACTGTCATGCATTATTCATATTTCATCCTTACTGCCTGTTTCTTCTTGTCTTTTATTAAACATTTATTAAAATTTTTTGATTTTTCTTTATGAATGAAAAATTAAATTTTATGCAACTACAAATTAGTAGTATTGCTAAAAAACTCGTCACTCATTGTTCTTCATGAATATTTAAATGCAATATTCTCGAATACTGTATTTATTGTATTGTATTTATCGTAGTTATTGTATTGTATCTCTTATATTTATATCACTACTTAACATTTTGAAATTGTATTGAAAATTACTGGAATTTTACGATATTTTAATAAATTATTAACCTTTATTTAATTTGTAATTACAGTTTGTCTTATACCTGGTAATTAGTTGCAATTAAAATGTAATGAAAGAAAAGGGAAATAAAATTAAAATATATTTTTCTATTTTGTTACAACAGAACTAGAATTACTGCATGAAACTTAAATAAGAATTAGTAATCAGTGTCTGCATAGCAATTAAAGCACCAAAAGTAATTTCTTAACGCAAGATACAATTAGCGAATCTGAAAATACTTAAAATGGCGTGTATGAGTGGATGAAAGATTTGATATGAATTTAATTGAAAATGTTTCACATAGTCGAAGTTACAATTGCAATGCTTTACAAATTATTTTTCAAGAAAATCTTTTGGAATGAAAAAGTTCGAATTTTAATTATAAGAAAATGCTAACAAAAATGCAATAAATGCATGAATATACGAGGAAAAAAGTATTTGTTGCAAATTTCTATTAAAAATAATTCTGCTTGTCATTTTAGCTTTCTAAAGATTATTAACTTTCTAAAGATTTACTTGGCATTTTCTTAAAAAATTGTTTTTCACTTTGTTATTGAACAGATTTCAACTGCCTTCCACGTGCGAGTATTTACCCACTTAAACTATAAGATCATTAAAAATAACACAGAAATAAAAAAAAGTAGTAACCACTTAATTATATTTTGTAGAAAATAAAAAAAATTCACGTTTTTTTGAAATTTTAAATTTGCGCCATTAATGCATATTATTATATGCTTTATTTTTTTCACTGAAATGGGTAAGCTTTCCGTAATTCTACACAACGACAAAATTAAGCATGAAATTTATCTTTCTACAATATTAGAAACAGTTGGTTACATTTCACGTATAAACAATTTGCCAATGAAACGTGTAATTTTCACAATGCTCCGTGTATCATTAGAGGAAAGAAATGATAATTACTGTGAAATGATAATTCAAATTCCTGTATAACATATGTTTGAAGTTTCTATCATTGTGGAAACGGTACTTTATAATTGGATATTTAATTAATGTATAGCAGTTGTTGATGTGACTATCATTGAGGGGAATGCTTCAAAGATTATGGAGAGAATGTTTTAATTTGGGTAATATGGATGACCGAGATGCAATTTTCAATGACCAAGACTCTGTTGATGATCATGAAGACCCAGATCTTCAAGAACACTGCCATTTCTTG